GGTCAAGAAAAAAACATGCCGCAAAACCGTGCCAGGGTTGCAAATTAGGCTCCGCCCATTTTTCCTCCCAGATGGTTCTTCCCACTTTTTGTTTTCCTCCCAGTTGGTGTGCTCTCCCCAAAAATCGAAACGGAATTCCGAAATTAATTTCTGCAAATTCTATGAACTTAGTGTGATTTTCTGAACAAAATTCAGATTTCTTGCTAACAATATTATAGCTAGCATCTTTAAAACTTTTTTCATCAAAAAACCAAAGTAAAATGGATAAAAAATGAAACAGGTGTAAAGGTGAAAATGACAAGAATGAGGAGGTCGGCTGGGCTATTTATAGGCATCGAGTTGGCGCCAAGTTACCTCTCGTGTTGGTCAAAACGGTGGGGCGCGCTTCCATCATTTAGAGTACTGTAGCTGTCTTCTTGTTCCGTGACAGACGAGGGAAATGCGAGTCTGGATATAAAAAGAAAAAGGCAGAATCTTGAGTAGGCTAATAGTCCATACTTGTAAAATTCCGGTCCGGTCCGCCAAAGCGCGGGCCTGAGGAAAATTTCCTTCCGGGCCAGGCCCGGAAGGCCCGGTAGCAAAAATTTTGTCATTTTGAACCGAATTTTGAGCTCTCAATACAATTTTTTATTTCTTTTTGTGCTTTTTGGATTGTTTGTCTATTTGATCAAAGAATATCAAAAAAAACTCGACAAAATTTTTTCTTGTGGAATGAAAACTGTGGTTGTGGAATGAAACTTGTGGAATGAAAGGCCCGCCGGGCCGGGCCTCGGAAATTTGGGAAAAAGCCCGGCCGCCCCGTTACAAGTATGCAATAGTCTGAAAAATGAGCATTTTGTCGCGCCGCTCAAAAAGCGAAGACTCGCAATCTCTCAGATTCCAATGCTTAAAACTTTTTTAGATATGAAATTGAAGTTTATAGAGAAGCTGTTGAAAAGGTTTATTCTATTGGACAAGAAAAGAGAAGGGTCTTTGGCACATTGAAAACGGGTGTTTAGTAGGAAAAATATCACAGCCGGGAAGGAAACAAAAGGGAGAAATTAGTTGACGTTGGCCAGGTTGTTAATCAAAGTCTCATAGATTTGAACGCCTCTCAGGAAAGTCTTCTCGTTCAAAAACTCGTTGTGATCGTGCAAAAGGGACGGAGTGTTGATAATCGGCGAGAAGCCAATAGCACGAATTCCTTGCTGTAAATCAGATTCGTTTTAAATCGAAAAATAGAAAAAAGCTCTAACCGCTCTGACGAAACGGGAATCTGTGGCGCCGATGAAGATCTCTTTCTTGTACTTGCACCCTCTGAAATAATGCAATTTTAGCGATTTTCTTCCATGTTTCCTTCTTACTCTTTCTTCAATCCATCATCGATCGCCGCCCAAAATGGATCTTCTCTAGTTGAAGGCGAAATAAGTTTGCAGTTGGAGAACTGGAAAAGAAACGATTAAAATTGGGAAACCTGATTTCACTTACCCTGTCTATGAGAAGATATACCGTGCTAACCCAGAGTGTTTCACAAATAATAACAAAGGTAAAATAGAGAGAGAGAGTGGCACAAAAACAGTGAAACGTGCGTTTTTTTGGATTCAACTTTCCAGCTACTCTAACCCATCCTAATCCTGCTAACTTACTGTTTTGGAATCGACCGTCGACTTGTCCGCTGGATTAGTGGACTGAAAAAGACATTGGGACAAGAAGAAGCAATTGGATAAGTTAGCGAGGAAACATGGTGGTTAGGGGGTGAGGTGTGAACACTTTATTACCTGCATGAACTCGTAGGTGACACCTTCTCCGGCATCCTTCGCCCACTGATCAACACGAGCACGGATGACGTCCAAGTCTTGCAGTGGCGTCACACGGATATCGATGTCTAGCAAACAAATAGGGTTGGACTATTAAACTGTTTTTTAAACATACATGCTTCGAATTTCTCTGGTACAACATTGACCTGAACTCCTCCGTTGATAATGGTCACATTTGAAGTTGTGACGTCTCCAACTGTTAGTTCTGGGTTTCCAGCCAACAACGCCTTCTGCTCGTTTCTGAACTCATCGACGCTGGCGATCAACTTGTGCTAAACAAAGAATTTTCATGAGAATCTTCTTATGAGAAGGTCTTACTAGCTTCTCAACTGCAGTTTGCTCGATAAACTTGGATCCGTGTCCTGGGTTTCCTGGAAGCGTGACTTTCACCCACCATGGGATTCGTTCCGCATAGAAAACCTTGTAAACGTCATCATCACAAGCGATTCCTTCATCGAGAGCAAAGTCAATGTTCAGCTTTTTGAACTCTTCCGTCACTGCAAATCCCTTCATTCCATTAATGTGTCCAATCTCCTCATCTGGCCCCCAAACGATGTGAATCGTACGAGTCCATTGTTTAACACCTTTGGCGAACCAATTCCTCAACGCTTCCATGTACTGCACTCCGACACATTTCATGTCTTGTGCTCCGCGAGCAAAGATGTTGCCCTGTTCATCCTTGAACGCAGAGTAAGGATCATGAGTCCAAAACTCGCGGAAAGTTGGAACCACATCTGTGTGAGAGTAGAGCATAATGGATTGTAGTTCTGGACGAGACCCTGGGATAGTCATGATGACAAAGAAGGTTCCTGGGGCTGTCTGAAAATATTTAAAATCAGATTCAAACCGATTTTCAGACTAACTTCAATCGATCTTCTCTCGATTCCTAACTCGTCAGCATACTTGAACAGGAAATCACGACAGGCAACTGAAAAAAAGGTATTTTTGCTGATGCAACACTTCTAATTCTTACCGTAATCTGGCTTTGGTTGTTCTGTATTAACCTGCAAATACTCGCGGAAACGGGTCACTCCAATATCCTCGCTCATCTTTCTGAAAAGAAACAAGTGTTAACAAAAATCACTTTTGAACAAAACACAGTGGGGTAAAGATGAGAAAAAGAAGGAAGTAGAACTGATAATCAAAAAGCGGCAACTGCGGGGCAACAAAACTTTTATTGAGAAACAAAATAGCGATGATACTTGATGTGAGACTTCGGGAAAACCATTAAAAATCACAGAGACGGAGACGCGAGATGCGCCTGTTATCATAAGTGTTATTGGCCGGTTCGGGGGCAGACAAGCGGAAGAAATAGATTTAATTTTGAACCTAATTTATCATCAAATCACTGAACGAATCTCTCATGAATCGGAGATTTATATAGCATGTGATCTCTATCATCCGAATAAAATGATGTCTCGTCACGCCTCTTTGACATGAAATTCACAAGAAAAGGCAAAAAAGGAAAACGTACTGTAGATTTTAAAGGCGCACAGCAAAAGTCTTAAATAGGAATCGACGCGGAGCAAAAAATCGTAGTTGATATTAAAGGCGCACGGCAAAAGTTCTGAATGGGCTTCAACACGGAGCAAAAACAACCGTAGTCGGCAAATATGCTGTCAAAAATTTCTCTGACTAACCGCAATTTCCGATTCAGAAACACCCCTCAAAAACATTTTAATCAACTCCCTCCAATTTTATTTTTGCTTCCAGTCGACAAGCTGATTACTTTTCCCAATTATTTACCCCTTTCCCAATCAAATATTGCATTTTCATCGCACTGATTGGTTTTTTCAATCAAAGACACTATCCAAGATTTTCCATTTCTCACCGCCCGTGCTTTTAGCTCTTTTTCCACTTTCTCAACATATTTCCACAGCAAAATGCAGCGCAACGTAACTGCGCCCTGCGGTACACTCCTTGTTTTGCATCTCGTGCCATTTATCAACCGGATTTCACCACAATTTCATAATATCCTTTATTCAGAAAATACCACAGATATGACGGAGCTCGAATTTTCCGCTGATAATGTAACACCAGCCGTTCCGATTACTGCTATGTGCATTGTGGCTGACAAGAGCAAAGCTCCTCGCGGATTTGTACCTGTAAGTGTTACTTTGTACTGTGCTTCTAAAGTCGATAATTGTAGATAGTAAAATGTCAAGATGATCAAGGAGAAGCAGATCTTTGGCGAGACGGATTTTTCACGATTAACCGCCAGGTTCGATACATATGCACCAGTACCGAAATTCCCGACTCAAACATTAGGGTAATACTTATTCTGATTCTTTAAAAGTCAATATATATTTTGCAGACTCCCGTGCAAGTAATAACAAATCTCATAATTGTTCGCGAATCGGATCCAATTCCCCATGGTTATGTCGCCATCGATTATACCGCAGATAGCAGTAAGTTTTCAGGTTTTAATTAATGTTTTAGAAAGTATAAATTCAGGAGAGAAGTCACTACGGAAGAAGTATGTGTGCATTCGAACAGAGCCTCGTGATCGTGTCGTCGATGCAATTGGAGAAATCATAATTCTAGGGAAAACCAAAAAAGTTCCAAGAGATTACACATCTGCAGGGTATGGACGTTCAAAAAATTTAAGCAATTTTCAAAATTAATTTCCAGAGACATTGATTCTTTGCTCATATGTTACAAAGTGATTCCCATTCCGCAGACGTATGGAATTCAAACCAGCAATAGTACATCGAATCTCGAAACGCAACAGCAATCCACGGGAGGTCTCTATCCTGGCCTCCCGAATCTTTCCAGCTCCACGCCTGCCAATCTTGATGTAACGGGAGCTTCTGGCAGTACGGCTTTCACTATGAAGGTAATTAGGACTTTAAATTGCTCATAAAAATTATATTTTATCCACAGAACGTCGGTGCGCCAAGAGTAAAGGCCATAGACGGAATCGACTTCAAAGTGAATCCAATGTTCGTCCGTACAGATTCATCTGACGGGTCTTCGAAACTCCCTGATCTCTCCCAATTCACTCATTTAGACCAAAATCGTCTTGAAGACAAGTACAATTATAGTTTCGCCACCGAACACTCTGTGCTTTCATGATCCCTTTTCTCTCTCCCACTTGTCTCGTAAAACTAAAATTCACATTCTCTTATTTACAAGTAATTGTACTTTCTCGAATGCTTTGCTTTTTTTGATATTTGAATATAAATGTATGTACTTATGTGTTTATTAAAATTGCATTCAAACCAATATGATTCGAATTAACATCTATTAAGGAGTGCGGAAAAAACAATGGAAATATATTATGTATTAGGTATCACAAATACGAAAAACCCGAGGCAGAGAAAAAAGAAGACGGCTGAAAGGCGAAAAAAGCGAAAAATCTACAATTCAGATTTCTGAAGGATCGAGTACCGTTTATCGGAAGGTTTGAGCTCTTTGAAAACGGACGGTGGAGGTGTTGTATCGATTGGACGAGCCGATGGAGCTTGTGTGTCGTGATCATCGGTGATTCCTCGAGCAGCCTTTGCCTTGGCGAGTTCGATCATTCGTTGGTCGAGATTCTCGTGGAATTCTTTGTGCAATTTGCCAGAGTGAAGGTCCATGACAAACTGAAACACTTTGTTCTTTCTTTTCGTTCGCTACAGTGTTTTTCCGGAACGTTTTTAAAATTAATTTTTTTAAACGCTTCTTTCATTCACGTTTTCAGAATTTTGAATTTCTAACCGCCTAAAACTTCGCCACGCCAGTTTCTCAATACCACCGCAGTTTCTCAATACCACCGTTCAAATTGAAGCATTTGCGTCGAAACCAACGCTATAACTACTGTAGTTTAGCGGTTGTTTGAGCACATTTACACAACATCCCAAAAAACCGTGATCTTGGTTCGCTGGTAGAAAACTAAAGGATCTAATCAAGCGGAAGAGTCCTTGAAAGTTTAATGAAACCTCGAAGTTTTTTCTTTTTCGGTTTTTTTCATCAAAAAATTGAACTGATGTTTTCTGACATTATTCTAGTACAAAAAATCGGTGTCCGTCGCCGAAGGTCTCATAACGAGAACTACAGTAACCTTAAAATCTTCATATTTTCCGCATTCCTTTTCTTTAATTTCGCGGGTTTTCGTGCTATTTCATTTTTTATTTTATTTTTGTGCTATTTCACTCAAAAAAGTGAAAAAATGACTGAAAATGCAAGAAAAGCGAGAAAATGAATCCAGAATAGAAACACATATTTAGGTTACGGTAGTTGTCGTTGTGGGACCCAGCTCCGGTCTTTTTGCACCAGAATAATACATTGAAAATAAATCTCACCTCTCTGAGCTTTCCTGGCACATTCATTTGTGTCATATCTGGGAACAAATACATATGTTGGAATGAGTCAATGGCAAGAACTGGCAAATCTTCCTTCGTTTTTCCCAAATGTTTTAATGGGTGAGCAAATTTGTGTCCGTCAGCCAACAGTGGGTTAATAGCGGCTCTCTGATCGTAGAGTTCTCTAGCAACAGCCTCTCCAAACACTTTATCTGTTGATTTGTTATCTGGATCACGGAAATAGATAAGAAATGGCATTCCTTCTTCCGTCAGCTCTTCTACATTCTCGAATGTCACTTCACGAACCAATGGAATACACTTATCAGTAACCCATTGCTTCACGAAATCGTAATCATTAAAGTTTCCAGTGAATTTAGCCTCCTCGTTGGTGTCTGGATCGAAGAATGAGAGCTTATTTTCAGTAGTTTGAGTTCCGAAGTGATCGGTTGGCACCCAGAAGGAACAGTCCTCGCGGAGGATCGAGGCGACTTTTTTAAGATTAGCGAACTCTGGACCATCTTTCTTCAACCAGGCAACCACATTTCTCTTCGATTTATCCATTTCTTGGCTCAATTGATCTTGAGATGAGAACTCATTGATTGCCGTGGATAGTTGATACTTCACAAAGTTTGTCAATGCTTCCACAGAACGAGTAGATCTGGAAAAAATTTCAAATTCTCGAAAATTCTTTTTCTTCTAACCTGTATTCTTTGGAAATCAGTTCTCCATTAACGAAAACTTTCATTGTTGGATACTTGTTAACAAAGTATTTGTCTCCGATGTCGGCCTGAAAATTCAAAAAATTCAAAAGATTAGTTTTTTGATTAGAATACCTGTCGCTGACTGTCAACGATTGCCCAGATAGCAGACGCTTGTGGATTCTCCTGATGGAATACTTTGGCTGATTCCTCGAAAATTGGCTTCAGTCGGCGAGAAAATGGACACCAATCAGCACAGAAGGCAACGAAGACTACCTGAAATTCTTGTATTTGAACTAGTCAATCTTCAGGAGTATTGCAATCATTTTAAAAGCAATTGGATAGAAGATTTTTCGGAGAAAGAAAAAGAAACTATAGAAAATTTTTAAATCTTCAGCCGCCGTTTGTACGCTGTTCGGCAACCCCGCCTTACCTGTGGCATCGGGTCCACAAGTTCAATCTTTCGAGGGACTTATATGAACAGAATTTCAAGAAAATTATTTCTTTTGTCTCCACACCTTTCTCATGTCTCCACACCTTTCATGGTTTGCAAATATTGATATTAAATCAAAACTCACCGTAGCACTACCCAAAACATGATCATGATTAGCCGAGGACAGCTCCACAGCTTCTTTGTATTCTTGGCCAGCAACAGGTGATAAAAGACAAGCGGCTAGAAGAGAAAGCACATTTGCCAGGTTCATTATCTGAAAAAAGAAAATTTCCACCTCGAAAAAGAACACCTCAACGGTTCTAAGAAACTGTCAAAAGCGAGAGAAAGGAGAAGCAAAGAAACAAAAAAGAAGAAGCTAGGCAGCAGTTTATTGACAAAAGTAGCCCCACGAGTAAGCGATGGAAAGGTCTTGTTGTTTGCATTCCAAGGTAGTTTAGGCCCCATCCTTCTTCAATCGATTCATAATTGGGTCCATTTCTCTCCGAAACATACGCGACAAAAAGATGAAAAGAAGAAGAAGCTGTTTGTAGGTGGAGAAGAGAGAGAGGATGAACGCGGGAGAATGACCCAAATCGAAAAGATATGGAAAAGACAAAAAAGTTGAAAACATTCAGGAGATAAAGAAGACGAGAAGAGACTTTCGCTAACACACATATCCACACTAATCAGGAAACGAAGTAGAAGAAGAAGAGGGGTTCAGTAATCAGAAGAAGGCAAAGGTGAAAAGTAGGTTAGGATATTATTTCAAAAAGAAATTGGGACAAGGGCATATAGAACATTTTTGAATGTTTAGAAATTCAGAAAGTAATAAAAACTCTAGAACAACGATAAATGCTGGGAGAAACGTTTTTTTTTTCGAAACTTAGATGAAAAATAAACCGTAAAAATGTACCACATCTTTAATAGAAACCCACTCTATACCAGCAATTTCAGCTCAATTATCTTGGTTCCTATTAGAGATATAAAAATTAGTAAACTAATAAAATGTTTATCATAACATCATCAACATTTTATCAGTTGAAAGATTTCTGATATCTCTTACAGGGACCGAGACAATTGAGCTCAAAGTTAGCTGCATGGATAGGCTTCTATTAGAGCATTTACGGTTGTACCGGACGATCTTAGGATAATTTAATATGAATTTTAGGAATTTCAATAGCAATTTTGAGTTTCTATCAATTTCTTTTTTTCGGATTAGCAATCAGAAAATAACTAATATCTCCATCTTATTTCTCACTGCTATGCAGAGTTTGTCGTTTTCAAATGGTCCGAATCATGAAAATAGATTTTGAATCCTAGGGAGTCAGTTTAATATTGCTCATTCCAAAACAGTGAATTTACAATTCAGGCATCACATAGTCGAAAACCCAATAGTTTCTAAAAGCTCTAAACCATTATTCATATAAAATCTGTGCAAACAACAATATGGAAATGGATTATGAGGAAGAAGAAGAGTTCCACGTGTTATATGGTTTCCTGATGGAGGAAGCAGACAAGGTCAGTCGGGAGAAGAGAGAGGAGGCAAGAGAAGGAAAAAGGGGGACAAGTGGCCGAACCTGTCCCTCAGGAAAGTACTGTATATTGATCGAGAGGGACAAATGAAACGCAGAGAAAAATAAAAAGTAATGTGTTTTTGGAAGAGAAGTAGAGGCGAGATTAGTGGCGGCGATATATTTAGGTTGCGAGAGACATTTTGGAGAGTATAGGATTTTGGAAAAAAGAAGGAAAGAACAAAAAGATGATGAAGGTGAAGAATACCGTTGATGACGTCACAAATGTATGGAATACGAGTAGTTAATGATGTGAGAAAATGAAGAGATCTTTCATGGGATAGGCTCATGAGTAGGTTGAGACAAATGAGGATTAAAAAATTAGTAATTTACCGTAACCGTCAACTTTGAGCTTAATTATCTCGGTTCTTGTAAGAGCTATCAAAAAGTGGTCAACAGATAAATTATTTATCATAATATTAGCAACATTTTATCAGTTGACAAATTTCATATCTGTTATGAGAATTGAGATAATTAAGCTCAAAGTGCAACTGAGCAAAGATGACACGAAGCCCAACTTAAAAGAACACGGAATATTGAACTCTTTTGCCTCACCCATAAAATTTGCGTATTTTAGATGCGTAATGAATTGAATTGAATTGAATTGAATTGAATTGAATTGAATTGAACTATAGGTTGGCTTTCCTGGTTTAGACTTGGACCGACAGTATTGCTTGATGAGTCACTGTCAAAAACTTGCAAAAAGAAGCAATGCAGTTTAAAAAACCTCAATATTTTAACTTTGAGATTTTCGAACAATAAATTAATTGTTAAAAAGAAAAATAACATAGTAGGCAAAATTTGAATCAGCTGATAGATTCCCACCCAAACCTTTTGAATATAAGCTCAATTTATTTTGTTTCTAATGAAAGATATCAAAAACGTGTCAACTGAAAAAAATATTGGTGATATTATGATAGATATTTTATCAGTTGTGAGATTTTTTATATCTCTCATGGACATTAAGATAATTGGGCTTAAAGTTTACGGTTTGGGTGGGCTTCCATTAGAAGAAATACGGTAGCTCATATTTCTCGCTTTCCTTAAAAAAAAACTGTCAACTTTGAGCTCAATTATCGCAGTTTCTGTGAAAGATATTAAAAAGTGATCAACTGATAAAAAATTGATGATACTATGATACATAATTTATTAGTTGACAACTTTTTGATATTAGAGGCCATGGGCTTCTATTTTTCAACCTCCTTCTGGGGGTGGACCAATTAAAAAAAAACGCTCAAATTAGAGGGTTTTCGGTGTTTAACTGAATTGGAATAGTTATAAAACGACAAGAACGAACGGAAACTACCAGAAAAATGGACAAAAAAGAGTATGTCTGCTAACCGAAAAGAAAAATGCACAACCAGGGTGGGCTTCTATTAGAGGTGGGCTTCAAATAAGGTGGGCTTCTATTAGAGAGATACGGTAAATTGACTCAAAGTTTAATGTCTTGGAACCCTTTTATTACAGGTTTTACGGTAAATGTCAGCCCTGATTTTTCGAACTTCTAGAATTTTAGTGACCCTAACCTTCGGAAATATTTCCAAATAAGTTTTTCTCTACTTTCCCATTTCTTTTGTCTTCTTGTACATATTTCACACAGTTCCCATCGGCTCCCTTCCACAACAAAGCTATTTATTACCGTATTCCCATCATTCTAATTCCATTTCCCATTTGCAATATAATCAGATTCTCTTCTCTCTTTCATCTCATTTTTTTTCCAAAAAGAATGGGCGCCAATTTTCGGGTGTTGGGGAGGGTTATCATCGTCCGAAAGACGTTGCGCAAATATTTGAAAGGTTCGGTTTCCCCTTTGGGAGGCAGGAGATGGCCACATCGTTTGACAGCACCGGTGGAGCAGGGAAGAATTTTGGAGCAATAGAGTACTGATAATCGAGAGACGGAAGAAGGTTTTATATGGAATAGAAATGGGTTGGATGGAAGAGAAATTGGAAAGGAAAAGAGAAAGAAAAATGGGAAAAAGAAACACAAGACGGAAAGGTGACACCGAATATTCACTTGAGCATTTTGGAAACTCACTTTTTGGGTTTCAACTTGAAAAAAATTGGTCTCATCGTCCATATTCTTTTGATACTTTGACAATATTCAAATCAGTTACTATTCTCTGATTATCAGAATTTCGAATTTCATGTTTATGGTACAAATTTTTATCTTCTGATATTGTTGTCAAGATCTCTAAACCTCAGTTTCTAAGTTTTTCGAAATTGATGGATACCGTATTTCCTCTAATAGAGAGTCACCCAAACCGTCAACTTTGAGCTCGATTATCTCGATTTCTGTGAAAGATAACCATGTGTTGTTCACTGATAAAACATAGTTGTTATTCTGATAAATAATTTATCAGTTTTAGACATACTTTGAATACATTTTACAGGAATCAAGATATTTGAGTTCAAAGTTCACTGTTTGGGTGACATTCTATTATAGCAAAAACGGTATATGAGAGATTTCCAGTTCCCATACTTTCCTATTCAATTCTTACTTACTCCATTCTGACAGAATTTACATAAACAATAAAGATAGCTTATTTGTTCATAGTGAACATAATTAAAAAAAGTTTAGGAAACTTTATGATTGAAGATAAAATTGGACATTTGAGTAGCGTTTATGACTCATAACATTAGGGAAAATTGTCTAAATGATAAAAGTCAACCGAGATTAGCTCTTGAGTTCTTATTCGAAAAAAAAAACCATAATTGATCTAGTCAAGCTTATTTTCAATTAGGTTCTACGAAAATATATGAAAGAAAAAATTGGCTCAGACTAGGACAGTGGATAATCTTCTGTAAAACACATTAATTTTTAGATGATTTGAACATTTTGAATTTCTGGTATTTCTTTCTTTGTTTTGAAATATATGTATGAGTTTCCAGAATTTTCAGATCTTCAGAATTTTCAGGAACTTTGGAGTTTACATTTTAAATTTTTTTTTGGATTTCCGACATTTTTTTAGTTTCCTTTTTTCAAAATATACGAGGTTTTGGGTAGTTCAGAAATTCAGAAATTCTGATTTGTAGGATAAAATTTCTGATTTTAGAACTTCAGAATTTCGAAAATTTGGAATTTTTGCAATTTCTATGTTGGATTCATTGAGATTTCTGGAACTTCTGGACTTTCTCAATTTTATTTGGAGTTTTTCAAATTTTAAAACTCGTAGTCCAGATCCATATTATTTTCTAATTATCCTAAAACTCTCTTCTTCCACCCAACCCCATTTCCAATTAATCGTACACAATCTTCTCTTCTTCTACACCTATAATCCATTCTGAGCTCCTCATTCATCCATCATGAACAGCTTACACGGAGACCAAAGGTGCATCATCATCTATTCCATAGAAAATCCTACCTCATTTCCAAATGCACCTGCCCCCTTCTATGCTCTCTAATGCACGTCTTCTTCTTTTTCTTCTTTTTCTTCTTTTTCTTCTTCTCCATTTTCGTTCTTCTTCCATCCGTTTTTAATTAGTGTCCCTTTTCCGTCAAAACAGCCAACTGTGTTGGCAGCCCCCTGGAAATTGGTTTCCATAGATACCACTGCCGTCCCAATTTCCCCTCCTCTTTCCGCTTTCCATTTCATTCTATTATATTCATACGTCTCTTTTTCTATAATATTCATACGTCTCTTGGTATTCCTCTAAAGCTGTATGCTTCAAGAACTCGTGAGTTTCAAAGCCTAGAACTA